ATTCAGCCAGGGTGTGCAGCAGAGGGCCGTAGTCTGTTTTGATTTCACAGCCCTGTGGGAACAAGCGTAAGGGCTGACATTCTAATAGCAAAGACGTGGGCCACACGGTAGCTAGGAAGAGGGGTGATGGGGGACGCCGTGGGCTCCCAGTCCAGTGGTACAGTGTCATGGGGCTGCGGCTCCTAGAGCTTCATCTACTGCAACATCTGCCGCCTTAGACCCACAGCTGGACGGTGGCCATTCACTGGGAAAGCCACCATTATCAGTTCTAACGTGTGGCGCTGGGAACCTGCGTTTGAAAAGATCCTTGCGGGGGTACCCGTTCCATGAAGTTTACAAAGCAGGTTCAAAAACAGCAGTCTAGCGGCTGGATGAGAAGATGAGAGCGGTCACTGACGCTGACGGGGCCTGGATTCTGGGGTCTCAGGTGTGGGCAGTGGCGCTGACGGGGCCTAGATTCTGGGGTCTCAGGTGTGGGCAGTGACGCTGATGGGGCCTGGATTCTGGGGTCTCAGGTGTGGGCAGTGGCGCTGACGGGGCCTAGATTCTGGGGTCTCAGGTGTGGGCAGTGAAGCTGATGGGGCCTGGATTTGGGGTCTCAGGAGCGGCAGTGGCGGTGATGGGGCCTGAATTCGGGGTCTCAGGTGTGGGCAGTGACGGTAACGGGACCTGGACTGGAGTCTCCCTTAAATAAATAACCCCTTTTATTATTCATAATTCTAAACTGGTGTGGGGTTGTTTTTGTGACTTACGCCTACACAGCTTCAAGGCTTTGTTGTAGTGAGACTTTCGGTATCAGGGTTTTTTCAGGGCTAGAGTACCAGATTTGGGGTAATCTACTTTTATTTTGGCATAGGCAATTTTGTTATTTTTTTTTTTTTGTTGCTGTTGTACTGAAACTTTTGAAAATGTGGGCTAAGCTTTTTGGATAACATTGGCCTCTCTGTGTTTAAGGATTCTGAGTGTACCAGCAACGATGATCTCTAGCAGGCAGAATCATACACAAAAGGAAAACAAAGTCTCAGAAACTGCGGCTCACCTCGATGACTGTCCACTGCTCCACCACAATGGCGTCATTTCCTTTCCTGTTAGAACCTGGAATCCCAGGACCTTCGTCTTCATAGATAAAAAATCCTTCCAGAGATTTAGGCGAAGGGTCCCCTGTCAGGGAACAGACACAGTTCAGAAGAGCCATAAGTAAAGGACGCCTGTTTCTAACCATCATCACGAGCCTCGGGTAACTACTGTAACCAGCTGAAGAAAAGCGTGTCAGCTGGGAGCTGTTTCCTCCCGTGAGCATCCCGGGGCTCCATCCCAGCATCACAGGGGTAACAGAAGTGGGGTGAGGTGGCTCACACTTGTAATCGCAGGACTTGTGAGCAGAGGTAGAAGGATCAGGAGTTTAAGGTCATCCTCAGCTACATAACAAGTTTGAGGCCAGCCTGGGCTACCTGAGATGCTGATCACAACATTAGAATGTCCTGGAGAGATGGCTTAGCAGTTAAGTGTGCCTGCGTCTTCCAGAGCTCGGTTCTCAGCAGCACTCTGGGCAGCTTACAATTGCCTAAGCTTCAGCGTCAGGGAATGCCCATGACTCTCTGGACTCCACGGGCACTTGCACACATAACGACATGAGAACTGGTACACGCACACACAGAGACACTTATACGTACACGTAAATTAAAAAAAAAACTTTACTGAGCAAACACACTTAAAAGAAAATTTATTTTGGTTGAGTCCTGCTGTTGCAAGATTTCCTTTTTTCCCTATAGGTAAAGACGGTTTCATATTTCACTGAAATAAAATCAAACATATATAGGAAACTACCATAGAGGAGACAAGATTAGAAAATATGAGCATGAATGGACGGTCAGTCTCAGAAGCATCTGGAAATGACCTTCACCTTGAAACAAAACTTTGATTCTGATCTGTGTTAAACCATCAATGAAAACATGAGAATGTTGACCCTTGAAATTACAGGTACAATATTAAAACCAGCCTGTGGATTATAAGCAGAGGGCTGGGAGGACGGCTCAGTGGTTAAAGCACTCGCTGTGAGCCCCAGCATTGCCTAAAAGTCGGCCCTGGGGAGGCAGGGACAGGCAGATCCGGGGCTTGCTGACCCGTGGCCTGGACAAAATGTCAAGCTCCAGGTTCAGTGAGAGTCCCTGCTCCCCCAAACAGGGTGGAGAGTGAGAGAGAGAGACAATGGGATGGTGACCTCTGGCCTCTAGACACACATGCCTGGGCAGGTGCACACATGTACCACATGTATACACACACACACACACACACACACACACACACAATCATAAGCATGGAACAATTCTTTACCTCAGTGCATTAACAAGTCCCAAGTTCCCCATAACAGCGGCAGGAAGACTCTAACAGAAGTCATTGTCCGAGAATTCCTGCCCGGAAGGAAGTTTGAAGCGGAGGCCTCTTTGCCTTTTCTCTTGCACAGTTGACAATAACCATCTGAACTAAACTAAAGGGTTTGATGGAAATTCTTTGTCTCCTATTTCGCAATAGAAGATGTTTTTTCTCATGCCTATGTGCTGGGTAAACACTGTGCGTTTTGTGTGGGACTTATCACGTCAAGTTTCCCTGTTTGCCACGGAAAGCAGAATTGCTTTGCTACAGTTATGATACATATACCTTGCAGCGATATGGTAATCAATTATAATGGAGAAATTCATCTTTGTTTTCCAGTTAGCTTACATCGTGATGGACTCATACTCAGTCCACCCTGGGCGAACTGAATATATTGCTTAATGTGATCCAAGTAGAATCTACGCCTTATGCTTATATTTTAATAAGGAATGTATTTTCTAATATATCAGCACAGTCAATTTTATTTTATTGTTACCGTCTCCATTAAAAATGGTCTGTCTTTAAAGAAATCCTGTTTGAGGGTTTCCTGAATAATAATGGCTGGAAAGGCAAGGTTTTCATATGATGAAGCTTAAAGACAAAACTAATTTTGGTGTCACTTCTAGTTTTAATATTTATTAAGAGACTGGAACTTGAGAACAACTTGTTCTCTGCTTCCCCCACCCCTAATTGTTTTGCGTGGCCTTGTTGGGGGAGGTGTGTCTCTGAGTCTGGGCGATGATAGTATTCCCAGTTAGTGCTCTCTTTCCGCCTCCTATTTGAAGATGAGGATGTAAGCACTGGGTTACTGCTCCAGTGCCGTGCCTGACTGCTGCTGTGTTCTCTGCCGTGAGGGTCACAGATGCTAACCGCTGCAACTGTGTTCTCTAAATTTTTTTAAAAAATTAATGAGTTGTCTTAGTCATGGTGTTTTGTTATGACAATAGAAAGGGGACTAGGACATTAGCCTCTCTACTCTTCTGGATTGCTCTGTGCCCTTTGCCCTGGATAGTCTACCCCGGCTCTTACACGCCTGCCTCCTGCATTATTAGCTTCCTGCATGTATGTTTATGTGTGTGTGTGTATGTGCGGGTGTGTGCGTGCTATGACACGTGTGTGGAGATCAGAGGGGCAGCTTGTAGGAGTGAGTCCTCTCCTTCAGTCCCGTGGGTCCTGGATAGCTGAACTCGGGTGGCCTGGCTTCACCTTTACCCCTGGGCCATCTTGCTGGCCTCAGGTTGCCCTTTCTTACAGATTCTTCCCTGGTTCTCTTGTGGTCCATTAGGTACACTCTGAATATTTTGTTACTTTTTTTTTTTTTTTTTTGGTTTTTCGAGACAGGGTTTCTCTGTGGTTTTGGAGCCTGTCCTGGAACTCCCTTTGTAGACCAGGCTGGCCTCGAACTCACAGAGGTCCGCCTGCTTCTGCCTCCCGAGTGCTGGGATTACAGGCGTGCGCCACCACCGCCCGGCCTATTTTGTTACTTTTGAAATTGGGTGTGCGTGTGTGTGTTGGTACCACCACAGCCTAACTGCCTGTTCCCCACACTTACTCATTATAGCAAACCCTGTACCTAAGCGGATACACGGATGAGAAGCAGAGATAGATATACATACACCTTTCTACCTGACGGCCCCTCGCTTCTCCTTCAAGTGCCTTGAAAGGAAGAGAATCCACAGGCAATCAAAAGGAAACATAAAGATCTGGCAAAGCGGGGTTGGAGAGGGAGACTACACTCTGGGGGTGACCCTCCTTGTGTGTGTGTGTGTGTGTCTGTCCACTCCTAGGGGAATGTTCGAAACAGAGAAGGCTGCAAGCGTGTGGAAGGACACAGAGGAATGCCACAGATCTTACAAAGCTAGCATCGTGCTCTGTCAAGGTAGGTAGCTTTCCAAGACATCCCCTCCCCTCTGCCGCTGTTTCTGGAGCATTTTCTCCAGTGCGATTCGTGAGCTAATAAGTTTCTAGGCAGTGTCTGGTCTTGTAGTTCTATGTTCTCTGTAGTGACCTGATTTCTGACAATATTTGGGCTGAGGACAGAAGCAAGACACAGCTAAATATGCATTTTTTTTCTGTGTGTTCAGAATGCCAGACACCAAACATTCAGAGCAAAGAACCCAATTCAGTCCAGCTTCTTCTTATTGGCTTCTCACAGTGGGAGACACTGGTCAGTTTCCCCTCTGCAGTGTCCCTGGGCACTTCCGGGAAAGTCCTAGTGACCCACGGGTGTCCAGACCCCAAAGGCTGAGGTGGATAAAAGACGTTCAGCAAAGACTGCATCAAACACTGTCTGAAGAGACGTTCCAGAGCCGCTGAGGAAGGGAGAACCTCCCTGGGGCTCTAAGAACTAAAGCCACACAGGGCCTCTGGCTGAGCAACGGCAGTAACCCATTTTATTTTCGTCAGGCCAGTCCCATGGCAGGAATGTCTGAGAGAGACTGAAAAGAACAGTTTTGCTTTTCCTTGGGCAGTTTGTCACCAACCAAAATCTGAAATGCCTCCAATTTAGACGCTGCAGGGAGGAGAGGGAGAGAAACGGTGGGGAAGCACGAACCAGTCTCGGAATAGCTGATCGGAACGTACGGAATGTACGTACGTACGTACGTACGTAACAGACTGCACGTACGCGGCCAGAAGGAAGACTCACAGGGGAAAGGACTCTGCCGTAGCCTCGGTGCTGGACACCTGACCTGTGCTGTTCCCACCCGTGGCTCACAGCCGCCAAGGGTGCGTTTCATGCCCCCTTAAGGAAGCAACTTCCGTCGGCCCGCCCGAGTTCCCCAGACCACAGAGCTGGTAAGTAGGCGTCGACCCTAAACCCTGGTCTGTCGGATCCTAAAGGCCTGCCTCTTCTCGTGAAACCTTGCCGTTTCCGAACAAGACCAAACCGGAACAAGTCCAGCGACTAGAAAACACCGAGTATTTGTTGGGCACCTGCTGTGTGCCAGTCATTTCTGCAAGATTCCGCGCTGGAGGCACGCCTTGGGCTTGGCTCTACTTAAAAGGCTCTTGTGGAATGTGGCTTCTGGACGTACTAGGGTCTATCCAGTCATCTGCCCCATCAGGCCAGGCTTTAAAAAGCTGGTTTAAGAACAGGGTGGTCTCACAACACTGTGTCTGATTTCTCCTTCACTCTTGGCTCCAACCTTGCTGAGTTTAAGGTCTGTAGTGATCCCAGCGCCCACCTTCTGATGCATTCCCTCCAGCTGCCCTGTCTCCTGACTTCTGTGAACACTAATCTCTCTTCATTTCTGGGGAGGTCTTTTTGTCTGTTTTTTTTGTGGTCAGCAAAACTGATTATGTATTACATTGTAACTCAAAGACGAAGACTAGAGAAAGACAAAAGAATGGATCCATACCTCAGATTTCTCTTCTGTACATAGAAAGAATCAGAAGTTCCGTGGTGATAATTTTGTTGATATTTTGTTTGTGTTTGAACAAATATAGCTTGCCTGAAGATCAGAGTGCAGAGCTAAGCCCCTAGAGGCCAGGGAGTGGTGGCGCACTCCTTTAATCCCAGCACTTGGGAGGCAGAAGCAGGCGGATCTCTGTGAGTTCGAGGCCAGCCTGGTCTACAAAAGCTCCAAAGCTACAGAGAAACCATGTCTCAGAAAAAAAAAAAATTAAAGTCAATTATAACCATCCTCATAGACCACAGTACTTGAAACACAACATTTTCGGCAGTTTTGACACGCATCCAGATGATTTACAGACGGATGTATTACTAAGGTAAAACTCACCTTTAGGTGTCTCCCAGGATACAAAAGCGTCAACTAAAGACAAGCCTTGTTTATAATAGAATGTTGTTAAGTCGAGCCAATTGGCATCGAGGGTGTTGATGACGGCCCCTTTCCGCGTCACTTTCATGGACAGGACACCCTCTCGGTAGCTCCAGCAGGCTGACTCCTCGTCAAAGGCATTGAAGACCATGTAGAGCTTGTGATCTGAGGACAGGCGGTCAGGAAAGGGGGGGGGGGACAGTCATAATCTTACACATCAAAATTCTTAATTCGTTCTTCGTGAGACGACAAACATACAAATAAATATAGAAAATAAAAAAAGTACCCGCCACTCAATTACAAAGATTTGTGTGTATATCTGTGTACATGTGTGTTTGAGGGCATGGACGTGTGTGTGTGTGTGTGTGTGTGTGTGTGCGTGCGCGCGCCCGCGCACGTGCACAGGTTGGTGTTGGGTGTTTTTCTCAGTCCTTCTGGATCTTGGGTTTTGAGTCAGGGTCTCTAACTGAACCTGGCCATCTTGTCTACTTGTCGATCACTGGGGTTTCAGGCATCACATCTCCACATCTGCCTTTTAAGGGGGGAGCCGGGCATCGAACTCAAGACCTGGTGGTTGTGGGACAGGTGCTGTCCTGACTAAGGTACCTGACGCTCTCCCCGCCCCCGACTCAGGTGAATCACATGCTGATGCCGTGCCACGTTAGGTTTGGATTATATATGATATGATATGATATGATATAATATAATATGTATAATATATAACAAGACAGCGGACCCAGGAGAGGCCTCTACGAGGTGGGTACCGTGCAGCGTCTCGTCTCTGAATCCATACTCTAGAGATAAGTGCTAGAATGAGTTTGGTATTCATTGTTCTCATGAAAGCTCCGAGTTTTTAAATACAGTTACACACCACGTAAATACTTGACTGTTTAAAAAACGCTTTAACAGGGGTTGAGGATTTGGTTCAGTAGAGGGAACTTGCCTAGCAAGTCCTGGGTTTGGTCCTGAACTCAAAAGAAAAAACAAAACAACCCAGGGACAACAACAAAAACAAAACTCAGCACAACCTCAGCAATATACTGTTCCGTTTTTTAACCTCCTGGTTCTTTTTCTAGAAGGCTGTGCTCACATGGAGCCCTGCCACGCACGGGTTCTGAACCCGAAAGGCCAGGACTCCACTGTGCCCTCCAGGGCCAGCGCCGAGCCGAGGTTTATGGCAGCTGCCAACTTGCTAGAGCTTCTTTTGTTCCGGGCACTGGGCTGTTTTCCTTCTCCAACCCCATGAGGGAGGCTCTGCAATTGTCCCCTTTATAGAAAGAAAGGGAGGCATTTGTCTCTAGGGGCCGTGTTTTCTTCACGGTTTATGGAGTCTTTAATTTTCTTTGATGTTGCTTTAAAACAGAATTCCTGCAAAGATGTCAGGAAACTTTACACAGTCCAAAATAAAAGAGAGAAATGCTCTCGGTTTCTTGGGAAAACTTGGGGCTTGGCAGGGAAGGACAAACTTGTCTACGGCTATTTCTGGCTGTGGGAACCCATTGTCACAGCGCACACATCACGGGGCTCCATTGTCACATTCTAGGGATGGCCAAAGCAGGCCATGGACTCCAAAGGTGAAGAGCACGCATGGGGATGGGAAAGGCCTGCCCTGAGATGCTCACAGTTTACTGAACAGCTGTAACCAAGCTACTTTCTCAGTCAAGTCTTATTTTTTTTTTTTGGTTTCTCTGTATAGCCTTGGCTTTTGGAACTTGCCCTGTAGTCCAGGCTGCTCTAGAACTCACAGAGATCTGCTTGCCTCTGCCTCCTGAGTCCTGGGATTAGAGGCGTATGCCATCACCGCCCGGCCGTCAAGCCATTTCTTGCAGCACGGCTGGATGAGCCGTTTGTTTTAGAAGAGGGGCTGGGTGCCTGAATTATGTGGGTGGCTTGGAGGGTCAGGAGGAAAACTAACATCTGAAACCTTGCCTTGCCTTATTTCTAGCAATAGTTATTTAAAAGCAACCCCAAAAGATTAGATCAGTTCACTCTCCTCGTAACCTGCAGAAATTAACGTTGTTTCTATTTCTCTAAAATCACGATACAGTTTGGGGAACATAGAGAACATTGTCTTTCCATCCATGCTGTTACCTCCTCCCAGCTCTGGTCTAGAGCAGCCGGGACTGCTGTTTCCTTCTGTCCCCTGTCCACTTTCACGCTGCGGTTCCTCCTCCACTCCGCTGTCAGACAACTGTCCGCTGGCGTCTCCTTCATCCCAGCTTTTGCAGTTGTCACGGGAACCGTGTCTCCCGGGTAGCCCCGATTCTGCGTCTCCATCATGGCTGGTTCCGTTGCAGTGTGGGGACGGGGAGTCGTACTGTGATACAAACCCAACAAACTTCTTTCCTCTCTTGGCGGCAGCATTAATCTGAGGTTGAAAGAGATAGCAGGACCAAGGTAAACCCCATGTGTGACGGAGGAGGCCACTGGAAGGTGGGATGGAACTGACCAGTACCGAAGCCACACTTCTAAGTCAGCTGGGAACTGCTAGCATCCACCACTCCCAAGGTCATGTCTCAGTATCAGCGTGACTCGTTACCAGAACGAATGCTTTAGAAATTACAGAGATGGGACCCTATTTTTCTCTGAGATTCCATCATATTTGGCAAGAACTAGTAATTTTATAGCAGGACTTTTGGACATGGTTAACGATAACCTTTCCAGTTGGAGCAGAAGTAAAGACTGTTCTGGAACACTCCCCAGAGTAACTGAAGCAAATACAGTCTCACTATTAAAAAAAGGCACACCGCAGGGTTCGGTGTTAAGACAGGTGTTAAGAGGCCAGCTCTTACGAACGTGCACCTGAAAACGTGGCCCAGGTCAGACGCAGCTGACGGGGAGCTTTCTAATCTGCTGACGTTCTACGTCTGCCTCTGACCTGGCCAAGGACACGGAATCCGATTTGATCCTGTCCGTGAGGACCCAGACTCTGAGACAGATGGCATGAGGTCAGAGAAAGAGTTCGGGATCTCAGCAATGGTGGTTTTCACGTCTGGTACTATTTCCATCCGACCGCTTCTGAGACTCTTATTTCCTCTGAGCACACAGCGCCCGAGATCTAAGGGTTTTCTTCGGCTTTTCGCTGTTGTGACAGTGTTCTTTTCCTGAGTTCAGCTGGCAATACTTCCGGGGAAAATGCTGTGTCTTATCTGTCTTTGTATTGCATTATTGGATAGGTATACTGTAAACATCCATTAAATAAATGCAGAAGCACAAATGCTTTCTTCAAAAAAATTTTTTTTCTTTTCTGCGACAGGGTTTTTCTGTATCCCTGGCTGATCTTGAACTCTCTGTAGACCAGACTGGCCTCAAACTCAGAGAGATCTGCCTGCCTCTGCTCCCCAAGTTCTGGGTCTAAAAGTGTGCACCACCCTGCCTGACTCTTAGTGTTGGTTTTTCCCGACCACTGTTTTAAACACTGAGAAACTAAACATTTTTTGTATTACCTGGGAGAGAGCTATGACGGAGGCTGGGGATGGCAGCACTGACGGAGTGAAGTGGGTTCTCAAACGCAGGAAGAACCGGAGAAAAGAAAGGGGATCAAAGGGGTCACCTCGGGCTGGCTCAGAGGGTGGAGTTCAAGGAGCCAGAACCCCAGACTGAGGCCAGGGCAGCCTCGTCCCTCTTCCTAAGATCTCGCTAACACTGTGTGGAGACTTGAGAGAGGAGGGAGGTGTGAGAGGGCCCCACTCTCTGCGAGTAGAAAGGAGTAAATTTCTTGTCAGTGTCCTTTCCGGGTATTAGGTTTGAGTGGAGACATTCAGGAAAACTCGTATGATAGCACATACTTCTTCTTCTGGAAAAGTCTAGGAAGACATAGATTGATGTCTTTTCCATTTTAACTTGGAGGTTGGATACCTCTAATTACGCTTAGTTAATCGTGTGTGTACACGCACACGCGCGTGTCATGGCATGATAAACATGAAGAGGGAGGGACGACTTGTAGGAGCTACTTCTCTCTGACCACTCAGCTCGCCAGCTTTGATAGCCACGCCTCTTCCTGCTGGGTGGTCTTGC